TGGGTATTATAAGTCACAGGGAAGGGATGCATCTGCACCAACCATTGAGTGAGAACGATTTTCAGTTATATCACCAATTGTCGCAAGCCTTCATTGGTTTCTAACGTCCCAAGAACCCCAACCAGCCAACCAGTCTTCACCTCACTACGTGACTGACTGCCTGGCTGGCTTAAACTAACTGTTGTGGATGAATTGCATTGACTGAAGAAGCCATGTTGGCTGGCTTTGGTTTGACCACCACTACCGGCTCTTTTCCAACCTGATCCATCTTATGTCAGCTGTGTAGTAGCTCTGTAATTTTTAGTTACCACTGAAGATATTTTCCAAGGAAATTCTTTTCCAAAAATTTTCTATTATCCTCTTCTATTCTACCCAATAATTACAAAACGATATTAGTATAAAACTTGGGCACTGTGGTAGAGTATAATTCCATTATAGATAAGATTTTATTTTGATAAATCGCACAGTGTTTACAGTAAACACTACTGTAAACACTGTGCGATTTATCAAAATAAAATCTTATCTATAATGGAATTACAAAACGATATTAGATTCTTATCAGTCTAGATGTTAGAAGAAAGTTAGCTTTATCACTGGAATGATATGTTTACTTAGAAATTCCCGTACGTAGAAGTCAAATACCGACCAAGTAAAAATAAAAGTTACATCACAGAAAATAAAATTGATTAGAAATGCAGTGAGACACATAAACTTTCAGTTGCTTGATATGCACATATATGTGACAAGATGTTGATGTTCCATTGAAATTCATAGATCGGAGAGAAAGAGTAACAAACAGAGGCATGCAAATAGTAAACTATTAGCTTGGAAAGAAAGTTGTGCTATCTCAGTAACCTACCTCTAATTTGAAACTGTCAGAAACAGTGTATCTCTCTCTCTCTCTCTCTACTCAAGGTCAAGGACATTTCACTATGGAGTAAATGATCAGTATCATTATTATCATCTAACTAAAAATTATTACATATGAGAATTAAATTTAACTTTGATTTAGTACTTATAAAATGCTAGTCATTAAAACTCCCAATAAGGAGATAAGAAAATTCACACTGTGCTTTCTATAAAATAGAGCATTAGAAATCACTTCAAAATTTTTAGTCTAGTCACGAAAGTTGGCTGGCTAACAGTCAAAGAGGTGATACACTGACCATTGAGTTACAAAGTCAAGTAGTAGTAGTAGTAGTGTCTACCCACTATAAAGAACTGATAGTTTTATGCAAGTGAAAAGCGACAAGTTGGCAGAAGAAGCATAAAAGATAGGACTCCAAGTAAATATAGAGAAAACAGAGGTGACGATGAAGATTCCTGGACAACACCAACAGACAACAATCAGCCAGCATAAATGGAAGAAATATGAACGAAGCAATCTCCCCTATCTACCTGGGAAACATCGTTTCAACTACAGGCAGACGGAACTGATGAGGATATCATCAAAGCGAGGATCGGGTAAGAAAGTCAACTTTTCATTACTCTTAAGTCTGTGTGGAGGTCAACAGCACTCAGCATTAAAAATAAGATCCGGATTTTCAACTACAGTGTGAAGTCAGTCAGTGCTACTATACGGATCAGAGACTTCCCCCCCCCCCCAGTCAACTTGGCACAGAAGTACACCAGTTCAAGTTGTTACACTCCCTCCACGTAGGACACAATGAGAGAAAGAGACTCTAAAGGACAATAAATACTAAGTGGAAATGTGATGGAGAAAGAATACTAACATGGAAAAACAATGATGGGATTTTGTTGGCCTATAGGAGAGTGAAAACAGAGTGAATGAATCTGCGCCAACCATTGAAAACAATTTTCAGCCATATCACTAATTGTCTATCTGTTTTCAACATCAAACTACTTTGCACCGATATGCAGCAGCTCAAGTCGCCAAACTTCCTGCATGTAGCACACAAAGCAAGAGAAGAAAGTAAAGAGAAATGCAAAACAGAGACAGTAGACAGGGATATGAGACAAAAGGAATAGTAATAACGAAGAACAATATAGATTGATTGGGTATTATAACTTACAAGGAAAGGATGCATCTGCGCCAGCCATTATCTCAAGCTTTCATTGGTTTCTACAATCCCTAGAACCCCAACCAGTCTTCACCTCCCTACGAGACTGACGGGCTGGTTTAAACTAACTGTTGTGGATGAATTTCATTGACTGACGAAGCCATGTTGGCTGGCTTTGGTTTGACCACCACTACCGGCTCTTTCTAACCTGATCCATCTTATGTCAGCCAACCTTGTCCGTCAGTCGAGGAAGACAATGGCTAGCAATGCATGTCTAACACATATCATAACCATCTCAATCTGTGTAACTTCACAACCTCATCGATTGATTTCCCCTCCCACCTACCTACCAAACTAGCACTCGACCGACACCTAACCTCAATATTGCTCACCCTATTATACCGCTTAACACGGTAGATAGAAGGTAGGAACCTATGATGAAAGACAGCTGACTAGCCGGCCTTTTCATGTCTTCCACTCTCAATGGCCATATCTCAGCAACAACCGTGAAGGAGAGCTGAGTGAACTTCTGAGCAGTGCACACGTCCTTTGGTCGATAGCCGGATATCACGTCTACGCCAGAGACGCCGTAAACTAGCATATGCGAATCACTAATTGTTTCTAACCATTGGTTTGTGTTCTAGGACACGAATTTCTGAGTGATTACAGAGTCATAAGTGTATATTTACCTTTTACAAATATAGATATCATCAACAATATTCAATTACCCGGTGGACCATTCAAGGATTTGGAAATAAATGATGGAACATAACAGTTAATGTTTGTTTGTAATGCAAATTTTGATTTTCCCATTGACTGAGCTGAACCGAAATGTTCGGCCTCTGTTGATATGGATGCTTCATAGATGTCTGAGGATTAACTTCGAGTAGTTTACTGAATGCTGACTAGCAATGGAATCCACGATGTGTGTTTCATCCACTAGCTAATCACTACCATCCACCAAACTACTTGCAGGTAATCATCAGACATCCATCCCCGAAGCATGCGTGCTAGGAGCCGACATGTAAACAGAGGCCAACTCATTGAGGTCCAATCGATCAACGGGAAAGTCAAAATTGAATGAAAAATAATAACTGACACCTGTCGCACAACAAGTGGTTGTCATAGTCCGAGTGGTCTATCACTCACTCACTCACTCACTGAGGAGTGCAGGTACATCCATATGACGAGTCTCGAATAGGACGAAATGAGCATCCTAGTGGATTCCACTGCTAGCTACCTGTTATGTACTCGTCGCTAAATTATTGTTATGGACTGGTCGAGAAACTAATAGTCCTGACGCAAGAAGGCGGAAATCAGAAGACCACTAAGTTTGCGATGATACTTCTATTTTCCAAACACAAGGAGAAGCAATAAGTGGTATCACACCGAAGTAAGTAAGTCACACAAATTGTGAGAGCGAAATATATATGAATGTTCAGACAAGGGTGTGAACAATCATTAGACAGTCTTAACATGAATGGCTAATTATAATGAAGTATCGATCCATATATACATAGCGAAATATATCAGACATGTCAACAACCACCATATATGGATATATGTCACCAAGCAACGGACTGTCAACAAACACTCATATTATATTATATATAATATAAGGGGAATATACGTTGTTAAAGGAGACAGGTTCATACAAGTGAAATGGTCACAGACTAAGAGAGCAAACAGAAAGAGAGACCAACATATATATATATATATATATATAAATGGATACATATCACTACCATCTACCAAAATTACTCCAACGGACGGAGCACTACTTACCAGTAAAATGTGCATAGGATAATGTAAAAACCAGAGTCGGAAAGGCAAGGCTGACCTGCATCACTCTGAAATCAGTTTGGATGTCTACTCCACTCAGCATGAACAACAAAAATCGGATGTCAAGTCCTTCAATTCTTCTATGCTGGTCATAAACTTGGCTAAAGCGCCACAGAAAGCATTTTTTAACAGACCACTGGAGACTTTTATCAACAGTTGTCTTCGCTCTACATTGAAGATCAAACTGGTGAGAAAGAATCAGCAACGAGGGACTACAGGAACGAACCAATCAAGAGGGTATTAATCAAGAAATATTCCGAAAGAAATGGTGATGGATCAGATGCACGCTGAGGGGACTGTCGAATGACATCATGCTCAATGTATGCCATCGTTCGAGTGGAACCCGAATGGGAAACAATGAGTTGAACATGATCCCGAGGATGAGATGGAGATCTTGTGGGGGAGGAGATGCGAGTCTATGGGTAATCGTGGGGCCAGCTAATAAGAACAGGGTGAAATGGAGACGTTCTGTTGAAGTCTTATGTCCCCCAGTAGAGACCCAAGGGAGCCTCAATAATAATAATAATACGGTAAACACACACACAGAGCGTCGATGACACAGCGGTAAGGACGCTTGCCGACTATGCACATGGTCCAGGGTTCGATCCCCGGCCACCGACGCACTCCTTTACCTCGCTAAGCCAGAAATAAAGGCTGGTAAGAGGAAAGGTTGGGCATGAGGCAGGCCAGTAACCACATCCTGTAAAAATAAACACCACTGCTAAAGAAACTCCAGGCCTCTAGCTTGGAGCCCTATGTTCCACTGGGAACGTGAAGAAATAGAAACACACACACAAAGGCAAGAGATTAGTCACGATGAACACCATATATGCATAACAACAGTATATAACACAGCAGAACAGACAGGCACTACAAGCACAAACTAATACTACAATAAGAAAAGACTAAGACAATTACTCCAAAATAGATTTTTTTATCAAAGAATAATCAATAATAAAAAAATTCCAGATTTACAACCATTTTTTATACATTCAATATATGTATATGTACATGCGGAAAATGAGTATACACATATATTACCCTGAAGAAAGGGGAGAGAAGAAAACTGCTCATAGAAAAAAAGGAGAAGCAGAAAGGGGTTGGGGTGGGCGAAGGGCGGCGGAGTTGGTGAATTCTCTATTTCAAGGATAGAACATGTTGTCCATTAATTGTCTGCTTAATAGGTCTTAACTGACGTAATACATTAGCTAGGACAGTTTGAGCATCTTCATTTTTACTGACTAATTTACGCAATCGAATCTTTTTCAACAATTCCCTGACAGTTATAGGTTTTCGCATTAAATACTTTCTTACTGTACTGACTAATTCATTATCAGATGAGTTCACAGGTGCATTGGAGGAGGAGGCGGAGGATGTTATGCCATCAGCACGTGGTTTTTTTGCCGCCGGAGAGTCTAAAAGTGTGTCTGAAGTGGAAGTGGCTGCGGCAGAAGCACCGGCGCCGGATGTAGACAAATCACTACCAGGTAAACGTTTCAAACTACCACCACTACCACTTGTTATTTGATGATTGTCAGATAAACTATTACCTCCGGATGTAAGTGAAGAGGCATTGATTGTTTCTTGAAGTTTTTGTATGACTTCAGCTTTTTTCACATTTTTCTGTATTGACTTTAGTCGATTATCTAATTCAGAATCAGATGAAGAATATGTCGAAGAATCTTCATCGCCTGAAGATGAACTTGAACTAGATGACGATCCACTGTCATTTTCATCTGAGCCATTGTTTTGACGTTTTTTATGATTTCGATGTAATTTTTTACTGGAATCTAATCCACCAACACCATCCTCGTCTGCATCTGGTTTATGAGAGGTTGATGAAGATTTTATTCCCTTTCTGACATTATCTATTTCATTACGTCGTTTGGAGGAAGCTTCTTCATCAACTGAATCCTCTTCTATCTCTGGTACATCATTTTCAGATTTCTCCTCCTCTTCACTGCCTATTGACAAAATCCAGAAAAAAAAGGGGGGGAAAGATCAGTAGACATATGCACATACGGTCATGAATTTAGTTAGCATGAGAGATACCAAAGAAAAACGAACCTTTAGAAACTATATTATTTTTTTTGGCTTTGGTTTTATTATTTATTTATTCATTTATTTTTTATTTTAAAAATCTTATAAAATTTATGAGGTAATTAGATGCAATATATTGTAATGCACGCTGAAAATTCCATACCTGTACCACAAATACTGTTTGGAATAAAGCTGTTATTATTATGATTATTATTAAAACTATTTCAAGTAGCATACAGATAATCTTTTAGGTAGTCGTTTTAACTAACTACCTAACACCTTGTGCATGTCCGAGGATAATCATAATAATTTAAAGCCGTAGCGCACTCAGTGCTTGGGCAGTTGTTACTTCTCGGCTGCCCGCAACGTGGTAATTGATTTTTTCTTGGGTATCTGAAACAGAAGTAATGTTGCGTGACTGCAGAGCTCAGGGGACAACTGTTTGAAGCCGATCACACACATAGCCTGTTTGAATTGGCTTTGAGAAGAGCTGTACGCAGAAAGAGACAGTGGTGAATCTTGCACTGCCCTGTTGATAACAAAAAAAATACACAACTTCTATGAGTCAACCTATTTCTTATTTAGAAAACTCTACTCTCTCATCTAAACATGACTCACCCCACCTTGTTCTTTTGTTTGTTTTTTTCTGTTGGCTATTAGATAAGACGTTTTCGTTAGTTACGCAATCTACTTTTTTGTTATGCTCTTTCTAGCTAAACCTTGTTTCCATACACACACATATATACGCAACCCTGTTTTTGTTACCAAGCCTAATTGTCTAATTATTCTATTCTATAAATAGTCAGTGTTTGTAACTCCTAATCAGTTAAATCATTTGGGACTAATGTTACTTTTACTTCCTACAAATTACTCCTTATGATCGTGGAAAAGTATGTTCAAATCTCTAATGTAATTCATATTCTTTTATTCGTTCAGGTTGTAACCAGTTGAGAAAAATCCTCAAAATAATAAAAGATGAGCTCATATTATCCCGGTACAACTGTTGTTCTTGCTTTGTTCAAATTAATTTAATGGGGAGAATCGCATGAAGTTTTTAGAATTGTTTCCGTATTAGCAACTTACCTCCCGATACGGACCACCGTAGGATAAGTCGTAATGTGCAATTTTTTTTGGGGGGGGGAGGGGTTGACTTTTTCTAACCTCCTCCCTTTCCTGAGTGGAGAGACAGCATAGCTGGCACTCCTTTTACCCAGCAGCAATACAGTTTTGGCCACAGATCCCCAGCAGAGTGTAAACACCTTATACTACTCCGACAACTGCTTTTAATCTAAACACTATTCTAACAACCTTTTTGGCGTAGTAGGACCTGCATGAACATTAGTTCCAGACAGCGAAGCACATTGGTGGGGGGTTACCAACACTAGTGTTTCAACAAAAACTCAATATGAACACTGATATGCATCGCAAAAATTGACATCAAAGAGTTTTGAAAATAAAATAAAATAAATGGATAAACTAATAATGAATTTTTTTTTAAAGCGACAAAAGAAACAGAAACGAGGGAGTCTTCATTACTTTTCACACATATAAAATAGTGGTCGATAGAATTGGCTCTAACTAACATGTGATCACAATTCAAGTCAACTGTTTGCATGGTCAAGAGCTTGACATACACATATACTTCAAATTATGATCTTCACGTCATGAGATCCAATCACACACAATGATCATACTTCCGATTTTTCTAAACAGTCCTAAGGCGGATACACAGTGAGTGTAGTATGATTTGTAATAAAGATATCAACTACTGGAATTGATGGTTGAAAACAAACCTTCTTTTAGGAGGGGGGTGGGGTGGGGTTGGTATTCGCTTTACTCTGAAATGCACTGTTCATTTTCAGAACTATCTTTATAGCATTGTTGTTAATGTGTACAACTATTCCCAAGCGAGTATGGTTGGAGGGATGTATGGTCGTCAGATATATCTATCAGTGAAGATTTTTCAAAATTGACTGCAATAAAATAGAGACTTAGGTAGGGTATATATTTTTACATATAGTTTTGCAATCAATCAGGTGATGCTAGCTGGGTTTTTGCATACAGTCGAGAGTATAATCACACACCGTGAGACCAGCTACAAAGTTTTGACAATTTGACACTACAGGAAACCGTATTTACAATATCTGATGAGCTTTACACAAGGGTTTAGCAACTCAAGGCATGGAAATCTGCCACCTATAGTGTAAAGAAGAAACTTTGGATTTTTAACACCAATGTGAAGCCAGTCAGTCAGTCAGTGCTTCTATATGAGTCAGAAACAAGACGAACGCGTCACTGAAAGGATTTCTAACAGACAACCATAGACCCTTATCGACAGTTGCCATCTTGGCTGGCTAACTTCATAGCGAAGATCAGATGGACGGTCAGCCGGCTAGCGAGGGCGAACCAATCGACAACTTATTGCCTAACAAAAATTCCGAAGAAAATTGAGAAGGGTCGGACATACGCTGAGGAGACAGTCGGGTGACATCCCACCCCAGGACGGTGCTCGAATGGAAAACGATAAGTTAGGCATGTGTCCAAGGGTGACATAGAGGAGATCTTACAACGAGAAGAGAGACTATGGACAGTCGTGGAACCAACTAAAGAGGACTGCAGATAACATGACAAAGTGGGGACGTGCTGTTGAAGCCCTATGTCCCACTTGAAACACAATGGAATAATAACAATAATAATCGAAAACCCACTGACAACTCAGCTGATATGATTTGAGTTGGCATATGGTAAGAACGATATACTGCAACCATATTCCAAACAGAATATCCTTTTCCTGCAGGGTAATTAAGGCACCAGCGCGCCAAATGTAACGTTCAAAATTGTTTGAAGAATGTTTATGATACAAAAAATTGAAACGAGGTAATGAAATACAGGAATTCTGTATAACCTCCTAGTTGAAACATAGCTACATATCTCTTATTGCTATGTTGAGATACTTAGTTCTTCAACATATCTCATAAACTGACGCTAATTCCTGAAACAGTCAGTAAAACAGCTAGCTAGTGTAAGACCGTTGCATGAGAAAGATTTATTTCACACCTCTACAGTAGTCCGTAGAGGCTTACAGCTTTAATGAACATTTCCTATTCATCTAATGACTGAATAGGGTAGTGATGAAAGCTATCGCTATTAATGCAAAATACTATACTCACTTAGTGAGTGATGATGTTCCCACCGAGGCTCGAACCAGATGCCCACAGTTTCAAACGCCAAAGCGTTATCCACTAGACCACTTGGGCCATGAGAGCCACCTCTTGTGCAACGGGTCATATTAATTATTTAATTCACTTTTAGATTTTCCCGTCGATTGATTGAACCAAAATGCTCGTTGCACAAGAGGTGGCTCTCGTGGCCCGAGTGGTCTAATGGATAACGCTTTGGCGTTTGAAACTGTGGGCATTTGGTTCGAGCCTCGGTGGGAACATCATCACTATCTCATCGGACAACGCAGGTACATCCGGTTGACGAGTCCCAAATGGGACGAAATTCGCATCCTGACTGGATTTCAACACTAGTCACCGTCCACCACTTAACTTCTGATTACATGCCCAGACATCGAAGCATCTGCACAAGAAGCCAACATTAATGTTGTTTAAATAACATCGAATCAATAATAATAATATCAATGGACCACAGTTCGATAGCATCAACATAAAAATACACTGAATATCAGAAAAATTAGGAAAGATAATAATACAAATTCATGCATGAATTTATAGTCTCCACTGAAGGCCGGCCAGGGTAATAGTAGTGGCTGGTTGGACTTGCTTCTTCCGCACATAGAGAACAGCTTCTTTATGGTGAACCGGAGGTTGCCTCTGCTATTTAAGGTATACGGTACCTGGATGTTTTAGGCAATTTATGTGATACCCGATAGATGATGGAGAAGGACTCTTCAATATTGGATTTTTGGCTGGTATGGACCAAGTAGTCTCATATCGAACTGTTGATGCTGCTAACTACACCTTTATTTAACCACACAGGTAGATGTTCCCGAGCGAGCAACGGCAGATGTAACTCGCTCCACCACAAGCGCAGTTCAATTGGTAGATCCAATTGGAAGTGGCTAGTCTAGGTATGTCATCTTTCCACTCAGAACGTAAAAGAATAAAATCAATAAATCAATAAACAAATAAATCTTCTAATAAATTAAGTAAAATAGCAACAACAAAAATTATCATACTTATATCAGTGAGAAGAGCTTTCAATGCGAGTTCTTCGTCTACTCCAGTTTCTTCATAGATTTTTTCACGCTCTTCGCTAGGCAATTTCTCTTCATCTGATGATGAATTAGTCATATAATCGACCTAAAGTGAAAAAATATCCAGTGGAAAGAACTTTTTTAGGAAGAAAGAAGGTCTAGGACGAGAACAACTACAAACAGACTCGTAATGATTAGTAAGCAAACGATCTGACGTTATATTATACATTACTTAAATTACTCTTTTTTTATTCCTTTACGTTCTCAGTGGAATATAGGGCCTCAAGCTTCTTGGGCTTTGAAGCTTTGGTAGCAGCGGTGATAATTTTTATGGGATGGGGTTGTTAACCTCATGCCCAGCCTTCCCTCTTCACTAGTCTTATTAGTAGCTTAGCGAGGTAAAGGAGTGCTTCGGCAGCCGGGTATCGAAATCCGAACCCCATGCAGGGTGGTTAGCAAGCATTCTACGGTCGTGCCACCGACGCACATTTAAATTACTTTAGATCTCAATCCGGCGGCCTGCTTAAAAACTTAGGCCGCCAGAAACCTACATCACTAGATATATATACATATAATTATTTTCCTTAATTCCTAGAGGAATATAGGGCTTCAACCGCACGTCTCCATTGCGTTTGGGTCTCTGCTAGAGTTTTCACCTGGCTACAAGTCTGCCCACATCTTTCCCTGGTTCCTGGTTGGTTCACTCCTAGAGATCCGTGTTGCTGATCTTTTCTGCCCGGCCATCTGATCTTGAGCATTGAGCGAAGACAGCTGTTGAAGGTCTGTAGTTTGTTTGAGGTGCTCTTTATGACGCGCCAAGTTTCTGATCCGTACAGTGAGCAGCACTGACTTCACATTGGAGGTGAAAATCCGGATCTTATTTTTCATTCTGAGTGCTGTTGACCTCCATAAAGACTTGAGAGAAATGGAAGCTTGACTTGCTTTCCCGATCCTTGCTTTGATATCTTCATCAGTTTTGTCCGCCTGTAGTTGAAACGATGCCTCATTATATATATATATATATATATATATATATATATATATATAAATAAAGCGTTTACAATCTGGTGATTTGCTAGTGTTCTCCACTAGAACTGAAACAAGCATAATCGTGGGGTGAGGGGGAGGGCGGCAACGAAACCCAAAACGTGAGATAACTGTCCCTGAGTATTGTCTCTTAATCTCAAAATGTACTCGTAAACAACTCTTTTTCGATTGGCTTTCAACCACATGTAATGGATTTTTCGAAGGAGGCAAAGATGAAACATTATATCTATAAGGGATTGTTTTGTGCATCACACGTTAAAACAGCATTTTGTCACACGATATACTGTCACAATTAGTATTTAATCTGAAGATCCTGTACGAAGAGAAAATATCATGCAATAAACTCTGAAGGAAAATTCTGTACATTATATAAAGCCATTATTATCATTATTACTATTACACAAATCAAGATCTTTGTAGAATAGATCTTAGGGTTTCCTGATTTTAACTTCAACTTTACACATAATAAACTCTTACACCGAGACCAAGAATACATTTATTCTAATAATGTGTCACAAATAAAACATTACTGAAACCTCATCTAAAAAAACATAGAATCAAGGTTTGTGTATTTTAAGGGTATAGGAAAGGAATACTCATGTGAAACGTATCAGATTTGCAGAAGGAGACTACGGTTTTAGTGAAATTGGAAGCTGAAATCTTTGAATAATGCATTCAAGAATATTCAGTCAGACAATAGAATATTCACCTCGACAATGGTTATTCCACTTCAAAAATCCTCGTTCAGTGCGAAATCTACAAACTGATTATAAAAAGGGACAAGGGTCCGACCTCCACCTTTTGTAATCTTAATTCTTACGTCGGATTGATTAACATGCCTTACTGATCATGACCCTGTAGATGTATACTATGTCTAACCAATCACTTATTTCGAAAGTTGCATCAACCAACGCCAGTGGTGACGTGATATCCACCTAGCTATCTACCATAGGTGTGTACTGTGCGTCAGTTCGCTTAATCCTGCTTTACAGTTATGAGACATGGTCATTGAAAGTGGAATATACGAAAAGACTAGCTGTCTTTGATCACAAGTGTCTGCGTTCTATCTCCAGTGTTAGTCGGTATAACAGGGTGGGTAATATTAGACTTAAGCGTCGAGTGTTAGGTAAGGGGGGCATCTATCGATGAAGTTGTGAGACTAAAGCAATTGAAATAGTTAGGAGATGTGTAACTTATGCCTAGGCCATCGCTTTCCTGGACCGACGGACAATGTTAACCGACATAGGATGGAGCAGGTTGGAAAAGAGCTAGTGGCGGTCAAACCAAGACATGGCTTCATCAGTCAATGAAATCCGAAACAGTTAGTTAGACCACGCAGGGAGGTAGAGACTCCTTGGCCGGTTGGGGTACTCGGGATTCTAAGAACTATTGGTTGGAGACAATTGGTGATATGGCATTCACTCTTTGCGACCTCGCATATCCGCTAGAATCCTATTGTTTTTCCATGTTACATCTTTTTCTCCTTCACGGTTCTGCTCATCATCGTTCTTTCAGATCTTTCTTTTTACTCTCTTGTCTTCCGGGTGTTTTGTCAAACTCAATTATTCTATGATGAACAATACAAGTTATATTTTCTTACTTGAATGTATCAAATTCTTTCGTTGAATCGAGTGACAATAAAGTATCTCACAGCTTTGCATAAGCTTTCTTGATAGTGATCAGTTCTAAAGTGAACTATATCTTTCCATGTCTTTGTTGAAATGGCTATCTGTAGTCTGACATTTTATCAGTTTTACCCATAACGGAGTAACTGTGTGGAAACTCACTCTAACCCCCCCCCGCCACACCTGAACTCACTTCCCCACCCCACTTCTGAACGATCAGATTGCAATATTTATACATTTTTTGGATGTTTCAACTTTGTAACTACTACCTGTTTTTCTCATGGACTGTATATCATTGTTCTGACGTTTGCATATCATACTTTGACTTTATCCTTATTATTTGTCTTAAATTCTGTTAAGTCTCCAATTTTAATGGCTCCCCTTGTAGTTGTACGACACATCGATAATGTGTGTTGTTTTACGTTGTGATTTGTTTGAGTGAGTCAAGGTCATTTCGGCCCTGGATTGTCTGCGGAAAGCGTTGATGTGTGATTTTTGTGGACAGAGTTTCTGACCCCATCTTGTTGGGGATATTCTCCTTGATTCTAAGATACTTCTTACAGTTACATTCAGGTTAACCAGTTTTGTTCTACAGTACTTGTTTTGTACTTAGACTATTATCTTGACTGTATCCCGACCGATAGCTGTTACATTGACGTGGTAGTTGGGCTTGCACATCACGATGACCCAACAAGCTACACTGGCTGGAACATATGTTCCTGCAGGTCCTATCATGCCAGAAAGGTTGTTAGGATGGCGATTACACTAAAAGCAGTTACCGACATCGTGTAAGAATCTTTCTTACACTATGATGGGGGGTCTGTGGGTGAAGTCATACTGCCGGGGAACAGGGATTCAACAGCAGTAAGGTGTTTCCCTCAGATGACCAGTATGCCAGCCAACTATGCTGTCTCTCCACTCCGGAGAGAACGGGTTAGAAAAGGTCGACTCCAAAAATTGTACATCCCGACTTACCCCACCTACGGTGGTCCGTAACCGGCGGTAAGTTTACTAATACGGAACCAAACCAAGAAACCATTTCATACAGGCCGTGTGTGACCGGCCGGTCTCAAGCAGTTGTCCGCTGGGCTCTGCGGTCACGCAACACTTTCTGTTTCAGGTACCCGAAGAATTAATCAACTTCCACGGTGTGGGCAGCCGGGAAGTAACAACCGCCCACACACTTCCAAAAGCACATGAAGCCTTCCTGAGCTGCCTAATGGCACTGTTGAGGTAATTTCGATGTTATTGATGCTATTATTGTTGTGAATAGAGACACATGCGTAGATCTAACAACGAATAATCGTTATTTTGTTGTGTCTTTGAAGCGTTCGTTTCTCAAGGAGGTATTGGTCAACACTACATAGTAGCACACAGAAATCGGTTCTCTGTGTTCAGACTACAACGAATTGGTTTTGTTCGTGACACCATATCACTGACATTTTTGAAGTTAGTGTCCATGAAAAGACTGCAGCGATTCACTTCCCCGACAAGACATTATCACCACTGACTTCATAGTGTGGCGTGTTCTACTGATAAGATTTATCAGTATTACATACATAAAGAGATGTTCATTGGCATAAAAACATCAAATAACAGGAAGATAGATTTGATGTTAGCGAAAGTAAATGATACAATGTTGTGGAGACACATGGGAGACGCGAAAGAAACACGCAGTGAAGGCGAAAAGTAGCACAACACCACGAAAGACCTGTGCAGCTGGTGCGTTGAAGATAAAGTGTACATAATTTGGCGGCATAGATATTGCCAAGTTTCTCGTCATCTGGTATGTGAATACATTAACAAGCTTTCCTGACACAGTTTCGGGTGGAGAGAGAGAGGGAGCTTTTTCTACTGTAAATATTAGATTGTGACTTTATGGTTGATCGACCTGCTCTATAAAACAAGGCTTAGCACTATAATATTAAGTTTTATAATAAAATTATATAACTGAATAAAAATAATGATTACTTATCGGCATACGGTTATTATAGTGAAATTATGTGTGTGTGTGTGTGTACATGGCAGATTTAACTCTCATAATTAATAGAAAAAGAACTGAATGTACTAGATAAAGATATAACATGTGACACAAAGATTTACATTATCATCAATGTAGAGAATCAAGCCATTAAGTCTGGTTTGCATATCTATAGGTAATTCACCATGTTTCAAGGTGAAATACACAAAACAACCCGCCCTCCCCCCTATCACAAGTTAGAATAGAATGAATCCAATATTTTACATTCGTTGGATGAGTAGTTTAAAAAGTGCTGTGTGAATTCTGATCTGAAATATATCCGATATCAGAAAAACAAGAGAAAGAATACGCAAGAAACGATTGACAAGAATAAACTGAGTTCATTATGCACTGAAATAGTCCCTATGCCATAACCCGATGTTAAAGAGATTTATATTATGGAGTGTATATAAGGTGTGTACTGAGCAGCAGTCCGCTCTGTCCTCCTTTATAGTTAGCTGTGAGACCTGACCATTGAGAGTGGAAGACATGAAAAGATTAGCTGTCTTTGATCATATGTGCCTGAGTTCTATCTCCCGTGTGAAGTGGTATTATAAGGTGAGCAATTCCATTGTGTGTAAATTGTTGTTTTGATAAAGTCTCACAGTGTTATGCAGTAATGTTTACTAATGACGTTTCGAGCACAATTTATTGCTCATAATCATATCAAGGTAATCACACGACATCCTAACTTCATTTATATAGTTCCATTGTTTTTAACTTGATTTTCACTTGATTTGATTGGCAGTAGTACTTTCCATATTTCCGATATGAGTGATGACTCATTCCTATTGCATGTGTTTGGTGTAGACTCGATGAACAAGGATTCAGTAATCAACCTCTCTCTCCACCTATCTAGATTACTTTTTAGAATTTTAACCCTCTCCCACCCTATTGTGTGGTTGTGTGATAATGCATGCACTGCAATTGCTGAGATAAGTAATTTAGAAAAAAGCTCAGCAATTGCAGTGCATGCATTATCACACAACCACACAATAGGGTGGGAGAGGGTTAAAATTCTAAAAAGTAATCTAGATAGGTGGAGAGAGAGGTTGATTACTGAATCCTTGTTCATCGAGTCTACACCAAACACATGCAATAGGAATGAGTCATCACTCATATCGGAAATATGGAAAGTACTACTGCCAATCAAATCAAGTGAAAATCAAGTTAAAAACAATGGAACTATATAAATGAAGTTAGGATGTCGTGTGAATACCTTGATATGATTATGAGCAATAAATTGTGCTCGAAACGTCATTAGTAAACATTACTGTATAACACTGTGAGACTTTATCAAAACAACAATTTACACACAATGAAATTATACTCTACCACAGTGCACAAGTTTTATTCTTATATCAAGGTGAGCAATATTGAGGTTAGGCCTCGGTCGAGTGCTAAGTAGGGTGGGAGGGGAAATCAATCGACGAGGCTGTGAAATTACATCGACTGAGATGGTTAGGACATGTGTTACGTATGCATTGCTAGTCATCGCCTACCTCGACAACGGTCAATGTTAGCTGACATGGGGTCAGGCTGGAAAAGAGCTAGCGGCAGTCAAACCAAAACATGGCACCAGTCAATCAAATCCACAACAGTTAGTTTAAGCCAGTCACGTGGGAAGGTGTAGACTTCCTGACCGGTTGGGGTTCTCGGGACAATAAAAACCAATGGTTGAAAACAATTGGTGATATGGCTCAAAATCGTTCTTAGTGGCACAGAAGCATCCACTCCTTGTGACTTATGATTTCTAATGAAACTACATTATTCTTCGTTATTACTATTCCTTTTGTCTCATACCCCTGTCTACTGTCTCTATTTTGCATTCCTTTTTACTTTCTTTTCTTGCTTTGTGTGCTACATGGAGTGTGCCGACTTGAACTGCCGCAAATATGTACAAAGTTTCACGTCGAAGACAGACAGACAGAGTGCATATAAGGAATTAAGGTAGCGTGACTCACTTCATCGCCTTCATGATCGTCTAATTCACTTTCATCTTGTGCTTCTTCGTCGGGATCATCTTCTTCCTCTGAGGAGCCCATCATATTGACAGTTTTTCGTTTACGCCGTTTTACACCACGTCGCATTTTTGTGACAATAGCAGCTACACGTTGTTTTTTCTTTGCTAGTCGAATACGTTCAGAAGCTTTTAAAAGTCCACCTTTAGATCCTGATTTACTGCGATCATCTGGATCATCAAATAAAAGGCTTTTCATTTTACTAGAAGAACTTAGACCATCTTCTGCTTTAGTTGAATCAGTATTTGCACTTTTTGCATGATGATTTTCATCATCCATGTCGTCTTCATCTTCATCGTCGTCCGCTTCACTACCAGTGTCCAATTCATCTAAATCGGTAAGCTTTAAGGCATTCTCTGACTTCAGATCTTTGGATTTCGGTTCTGTTTTATTCCGTTGGCTTGAATTAACATCCCCCAATGAAGACAGAAATCTAAAAAAGACATTGGGCAAAAGATTACAGAAAGTTTAGAAATTGATTTTTATTTATTTTATTCGTGAGCCCGAATAGCTCAGTTGTAACGTCTCTGACTGCAGTTCTCACTGAGTGACGCGGGTTCGGATCTCAGAAGGGACATGAGTTTCTTTGAGGTTGCAGATACGCCTTGCTGACGGATAAATGCCAACTAGCACGAAACGTAGGTCAAGCAAGGCTTCCTGTGGCCGACTGCCTCCAATTATCTAATATCATCAAATGTAGTATAGGCAAATCTGAGTTTTCAACACAGAATCAAGGAGAAGAAAAATACACTCCAACGGATTCAGTTTGGTATTGACTTCCACAACAGGGATAAAGTATTTCCAAGTTTTTGACGACAGGATTCAAATGAGCAATAATTGGTTAGTAAACTTTAGAAAAGAAATATCTTCAGGAAGCCTACACATTCTGACAGATACCTGGATTACAACAATTCGGCACATTCCTTTATCACCAAAGTAACTCTGTGACCCAGAATCTGAATAACTGAGTAAAAGGTCTAGTTATTGAGGAGGAGGAGGAGGAAGAGATCAATAAGGGAATTAAATTGGTTCAATTTACTCTTGAATCGCATAATTAACCGAAAGCCTTCACAAAAATATACTTGGAAAGTGAAGATAAGGATGAATCAAAACGTGTTGCTAAGACTTAAGCTTAGTACACTGGTGATAAAATAAAGCGAATCCTTAACAATTATGACATAAGAATGTAATTCCGTGCAATGGACACCTTGCGCTCATCACTGGTGAGGGTTAAGGATAAAATAGAAGACAATCAGTTAAATTGCATGTACCAGATGAATTGTGGGGATTTAGATGCTGTTTATGTAGGAGAAACTTGCGGACAGGTAAACATACGAGCAAAAGAGCACAAATAATGTTAAGCAGCGGTTCCAAACACCTCTTTAGATTTGAAGAAGCCAGAAAACAAATCAGCAATTGTACTACACTCGATAGAAATGGGAAATAAGAACGACTTTGATAGGATAAAGATTCGACAGAAAGGTTTTGGTTCGTATCAAGAAAGACCGACTGCAGAAGCCCTACATGTATGGGCGATTAACAAAAGCATGAATAAGCGTTAAGATATAATGTTAGCTGATGTATGACAAGTCCTGATTAATAAATAAAAATGAATATATATCACTAGTCAATCAAAGTCAGTTTAAACTCCCAACCGTCTATATCTTCTTATGGGGAGGCGGACAAATGACATACAACTGTTCCCTGAAGTGCACACATACATCATTGTATATTGCATATACATATGTTTTTCATATTCAGTTACCTATGATCCCGAACTTAAGTTGAACATAATCACTACAAAGATTCGATGCAAAAGTACACATAGTTTTTAACAAAAGTAGACTAATATTTCTAACTCTGTGGCCAAATTTCAATCACAATTCATGCTATTGTGTTTATTATGCTTTGCTCTTCAAGTCTGACCAGGAATTGATATCAATCACTTAGAGGGCCAATGAAAACCAACAGGAAGTAGTGGACAGTGGTTTCGTCCTAGTTTGTGATTCATTGACAGCATGCACCCATCGGGTTTCGATGTCTGTTCGTGACTCATATGATTAAACAAGGTTTTTAAAGACTAGATGTGTCCTTTAATATATACACCTTTCTTACTTCAATTTTGATTAATTTTCCTGAAGAATTTTGGACGATTTACCGAACGAAACATTGGAATCTGAGCACTAGATAAGACTCTGTACTATAAAGCGAAGAGAATATGCTCTGCAGAAAAACTAGAGGAAGAATTTACGAATCTCGAAAAGGTACTGAAAAACAACGGCTATCCTCAAAGACTCATTAACAAATATGGAAGATGTGAAGGCTCAAACACCAAACAAATCACAGTTGAAAAAAAGCCTGTCTTCATTCAACTACATTTTAAAGGTGAAAACATTGCAGAAATGGTCAACAGAAGACTGAGAACGTCACTAGCCAGAGCCTATCTTACAGCTAAGTTGGTTCTCGTCCATCGAACAGTATGCTCTTTGGTGCAGTCAATAGTCGATAGATATCCTTCTGATGTTAACTCCAACTGTGTATACAAATTTACGTATATCTACGGAATCAGTCACATTGGGAGAACAGAAAGAAGGGCATACCTCCGATTTTCTGAACATGTACCGAAAAGCCTACGTTTCAAGTGAACAAACTCTTATAGAAGCGCTATTACCAGACATCTCCTCGACACGGGTCATGAGGTGGAAATCGAGAAATCCTTCAAAATTATCAATAGACAAAGGAGCTCCATTCTCCTCAAGTTTGCCGAAGCAATTTCTATCAAAGGCTTGATCCAAACCAGATTTATGTGTTCAGAAAGAAGTAGTTATTAGTCTTTCCTTGCCTTGGTAACTGGATGTCTTTTTTCTCTCATCTGATTACGTAATCTTCGTCTTTAACCTCACCCTCCTTCAACAATCTGTAATTTTGCTTGTCTCTTGTTTCTATGATTTCAGTTCAACTCAGTACATTGTTACCTAACTTATTAGTCACTATGCATCTAACGCACATCTTATCTTTATTATGTAACTCCTTTACCATTATATGCATACATCTGTTTTGTTTTAACTTGAACTGCCTGTGTAAAAATTATATAAGCGCAATTTTCTGAGCACTGTTTACTAATTGTGGAACTGTCTGTCAACTGACAACATGTAAAATTTGCAAGTATGTTAGAACGTGTCTGTGCTTAAACCTCATAATTTATTTAGGCTGTAAGCAGCTGATGAGAGGCCAACGAAATAAATGATGGCACCATATTATTCTGCACAAACCACTGTTGTTCTTGCTTTATTCAAATACTTGAATTTCGCTTAGATTTTACCAATATAACTTTTACATTTAAATTAGTTTGTTATATTATGTTCGAAGTGCATACAGGAGTAAGACACGGCTGCCTATTATCACCACCGATGATATTCTTAATTGTGGTGGACTGGATTATGCGTCAGACTGCGCACAGGGAGAGAGGAGACAGGAGTACGCTGGGCCACTAATAAGAAGACTCTAGGAGTTCTGGAATTCGCAGATATCATGTCTAATGTCACACAAACTCGAAGACTTGCAGGCAGACGAAAACCAACAAACTGGATGAAGAAGCAGCCACAGAATACAGGACTCCAGGTGGACGTAGAGAAGACGGAAGTGGTGGAGATAACCAACCACTACCAACAGCAGCAACAATAACCAACGCCAATCACCATCAACGGGAGAGATTTAGCAGAGGTTACTCCTTTCACCTATCTTACCATAGAGCATCGTTTCAACCACAGACCAGTGGAACGGATGAATATGTTAAAGTTAGAATCGGAAAGGTGAGATACGCCTTCATCAGCCTGAAACAACTTTGGAAATCTTTTGCACTCAGCATAAGGAACAAGATTTGGATTCTCAACACCAATGTCAAGCCAATCAGTTCTTCTATACGGGTCAGCAACTTGCACTGCGTGTCACGAAAAGGATTTCCAACAGCCTGTTGCAGACTTTCATCAACAGATGCAACCTTCGCTGGCTCCATACTGAAGATCAAATGGCCAGAAAGAATTAGCAGCTAAAAACTTTGGCAACAAACCAAACAAGAGGCGATTGCTCAACAAATATGTAGGAGAAAATGGAGATGTACTGATCGGGCATGCATTAAGGAGGCAGTCGAATGACATCGTGTGCAATGCACGCCATAGCTCGAGTGGAATCTCAGTGGTCTGTGCAAGAGTGACACAGGGGAGATCACGTGACGAGGAGGAAGAGATGAGATATTATGGGCAATGATGAACTCAGCTGAAGAGGACAGCAGAAAGTAGAAAAAAGTGGAGATGTGTTGTTGAAGCCTATGTTCCACTCAGAACCCAAGAGAACAATAAAAATACAAAATGATAAATAAATATTATGTTCTGAAACATTATTAAGAATTTTCTAAGGAAATTAGCATACAAAATATCTTTTATTTCATGAACCCTGTTAGCTAATCTGAGGTAGAATTAAATACTACATATTTTTAAAAATATTTTGTTAGCCCATCATTAGTTGTTTATAACCAATAAAGATTGAAATATGAAATGAACCACTTTCCCAGTGAGTCAGTTACATCACTTCAGTACAATTCTCCTATCTGGGCCTAAATGGGTAATGAAAAATTCTCGTGGTCAAGGGGAATGACGACAGCGATCACATAACATTTGAAATAAACACATCTTGTATGAGATAAACAAGCTATAAGCTTACTTCAACCCCTTTGAAATTTCACGGTCCATATCGGCATCCTCTTCGCCAGCATTATCTGTAAGTTTTCGTTTAACCATAACGTTAAACAGATTCAGTGTTTTATGTAAACGACTGTATTCTGCTTCCGCTTCATCTTCTTTAAGAAAACGATAATTTATCTCCGGTTTCATTTTGTACCTATTCATGTATTCAGAGTAAAAATGAGACACTGTCGAATTAGAGGCAGCCATGAAATCAAGAAGCTAAAATAAAACGTTAAAATGATGAAAATCTCTTATTATGCATTTTCATCACGAATTTGTGTCATCTAGAGGATTACTAGAAAACTAGGGAGAGCTGGACATACATATATTGTTATATCTTGGTGTCATTCTATCTGCTGATCTTTCCTGGTCGTCTCATATCTTGATGATTTCTAAGAAAATACTCCGTCTTACCTTCTACATCGAGAAGTTAGGAATAAGCCAACCCTTACTCCTACAATTCCTTAACTCTCGCATTCTGCGTATTATTCTCTATTGTTCCCCTTAGTTTTTCCAGGGCTACTGAAGAAACACTATACCTTATTACGCAGGATGTTACAGATTGTCAGCAGGGTAAGCAATGTGCCACTTAACCAGCTTGTTAATATTCTGGTTGACAGGCACTTGGACTCATATGAAAAATGGGCTAAATCCATTTCATCTAACTCACACCACCCTCTTCTTTCACAACTCCCCCCTCCTTCTATCTCGTCAGGCACTACCAGAAGCCTATATAGGAAACTATATGCTCGCACTAGCACGTACAAAAACTCGCGTTCTGAGCGATAAAAAAAGCGTTGGGTGTGATACCTATAACTTATTAAATAGTCAGTAAAACAACTGGATCTCGTCTTTCCAAGTCATATCATTTATAGGTACGACGTTTTCTTTCTTTCTTTTCCTTTTCTCTTTTTTCTGTTATGTGCTGCTTTGTTTCTTTCTTCCTTACAAACTCTATTTAAAACATTCTTCTTCGTTCTTTCACACTCTGTATATCTCGACCTTTTTTGTTACCGCTTACGCCAGTAAGTATGCTAGCATCTGCTTTTTTAACACCTTCAAACACTCTGTTCAATTTTGACTTTGCTACTGACATGCCAATATGTTGTTGTCAAAACGAACTGAGATTACCCTTAATCTATATAGAATTTTGTTTATTGTTAATGTACTAACTGGATGCAATACTGTAGTAAAAATGCTGAGAATTCCATTCTGTATCACATGTACTGTTTTGGAATAAAGCAAATTACTATTATTATCTTTTGAGATTTGTGTGTTGTATTCAGCTACAAATTTTCGGGGCATGGTACCAGAGACTGAGTGATTTTACGATGAGTACGCTGTTTCCTGGCCAGTAAATGTGAATATGATAGGTCAATTAATATTCACACAACTGACTATTTGTAAAAATGTCTACAAGGAAGAAAAAGTACCTTCTGATTCGAAAAAAGGCTATCATATTGTCAAAATATTAAAGAAGGGTGATTTAGACCTGTGCAAAAAATGGCGCAGAATCATGCTGTTATCTACGCCAAGCAAAATACTAGGTGGCGTCATCCTGGAGAGAGCAAAAGATGTATAGGGTGCAGAACTCCGTCGACCGGGACAAGCTGGATTCAGGAAAAGCAAATCATGTGCGAGTCAAATTGCAACTCTAGGCATCATCATCATCGAACAGAACATAGAATGCCAATCAAATCTCTACCTCAGTTTCATCGACTGAAAAGACCTTCGACAGCGTTGATTGCGAAGTTATTTGGAAACTACTTCAACACTATGGCGTGCCCCCCCCCACACTCATTCAATAGCTATATAACAATTCCACACGTCAAGTGATCTACAATGGAAAACTCAGCGAAGTCTTTGAAGTGAAGTCACGAGTAAAACAGCGCTGCCTACTATCACCGATGATATTCTTAATTGTGGCGGACTGGATTATGAGTCAGACTGTTGGGGCCAGAAGAAAAGGGTACTTTGGACTGTACAAGGTACCGATTTCATTAACGATTTATGTCTGAAGTCACATATATTCGAAGACTTACAGGCGAAAACCAACAAGTTGTCAGAATAAGCAAAGATAAGACTTTCGGTGGTCATAGACAAGAGGGAGGTCATGAAGGCAACCGACCAGCACTAATCACTATCAACGGAAAAAATTTGAAAGAAGTTGCTACCTTCATTTATCTAGGAAGCATCCTTTCAACTAGAGGCGACAGAACGATAAATATGTCATAAGCAGCCAGAATCGGAAAGGCAAGACAAACCTTCATCACTCTAAAATCGGTTTGAAAATCTACTAAACTCAGCATAAAAAAACAGGATTCGCATTTTTTGCACCAATGTTAGTTCAGTCACTTCTTCCATATGAGTCAGAAACTTGCACTGCGTGTCACGAAAAGTATTTCCAATAGACCACTGTAGACTTTTATCAGCAGCTGCCTTTGACGGCTCCCTACTGAAGACCAGATGTCTAGCCAGAAAGAATTAACAACAAGGAATTCCGGTAATGTAACGAACTAACCAAGAACCTATTGTTCAACAAATATGTGGAAGAAAGTGGAGATGAATAGGACACACGCTAAGGAGACCGTCAAATATCGACCACAATATAAGGTATCGCTGAGGTGGAACCCGAACGGGAAACGACGAGTGCTGCGTTGATCCGAGGGTGACATGGAGGAGATCATGCGGGGAGGAGAGATGAGAAACTGCACAGAACAAAGTGGAATGGAGATGTACTGTTGAAGTACGATGTTCCACTGGGAGCCCAAGGGAACAATAATAAAATACGCTGTCTTCCCGCCAGTGAATACCAATGTCATTCGTCTATTATTATTTACATAACCAACACTAGGTAGCCAATAATGAACACAGAATTTGTATTGGAACCACATAAAACCCATTAAGCAGAGAACTGCTACTTAACTATAAAATGGTAAAAATAGCTGTTGGATTCAGAATCAACCACTAAGCCTATTAATACATTGAAAACCACCCATATTAGCTTCAAACTGGAATTTATGGTGGCTAAGGACTAATTGACTGTCTGGTTTCAACATGGAACCTTGCACAGAAGTGCAGCACTTCAAGTTTCCTCACTCCATATACCACACAAAGGGAGATAAAGGAGACAAAAACAAAATGAGATTCAAAAAAAGGATAGTAAGTGGAAATGTGAAGGAGAAAGAAAAGTAACATGGAAGAACGACAAAGTTTAACGGACATGAGAGACCACGAAGAGTGAATGGGTCTGCGCCATTGACAACAATTTCGATCCATATCACCAATAGTCTCCAGCCTTCTTTGGTTCTTAGAGTCTGTCTGTCTGTCTGGATTCAACATAGAACTTGGCACCGAAGTGCACCAGTTCGAGTTGCCACGTTCCAAATAGCACACAAAAGTAGACAAGAAGATGAGTGAAGAGAATCAATAGAGTTTGACAAATATAAGAGTGAAACAGAATGGGTAATGGTAGAAAGGAATATGAAAGATTACAGAGACTGAATACATCTGCGCTGGCCATTGACAACGATTTTGAGCCATGTCACCTACTGTCTCCAGCCATTGATTCTTAGAGTCCCGAGGGCCCCAACCCGGAAGTCTGCATCTCCCTACCTGACTCAGTTTAGCTGTCAAGGATTTGATGGATTGATGACATGTTTTTGTTTGGCCACCACTTACTCTTTTCCAGCCTGCACCTATATCAGCTAGCAATGCCCGTCGGGGGAGGCGGTGGTTAGGCATGCGCAGCACGTGACCTAGCCATCTTAGTCTATGTAACTTTATAGCCTCGTCGATTGATTTTCCCTGTTTGCCCAACACTCTACGCCTAACGTCAACATTACTTATTTCTTAGAATCTCTAGGACCCAACCAACCAAGCGGTCTACACCAACCTACGTTGCTGGCTCAAACTTACTGTTAAAGAAGCGATTGTTAAAGGCGATTAATACTAAGAATGAATACTAAACCATGTAAAAGAAATTATATTAACAGAGCTACCGACTAACTGAGCACTTATTCACTGATTTGTAGTTCATCTTGTTGGTATGACTGCTGTCGACTTGAAATTTTAATAAATAATGCAGACAAACAGTAGGTGCATAAAGTCATACCGCACTTGCCTATTTTCAGTAGTTTTCAATATTATGAAATCTAAAACAGCTAGTGCTCTGAATAATTTAAAGAAAACCAAGATCCTTGTAGTATTCCTTACTAATAAGCGATGAACATGATTTCAAAAGACTTCCGTGGTGTAACTGTAAGAGCCTCCCTTTTCCACTGAAAATATACATTATGAGAGATAAGGAAGAAAGATGTGTAGCGTGCCTTCAAAAGCTTTAAAATTTTTGTTTTAATGGGTACATACATCTGGACAGGCTCGAATGACATTTTGCGCTTTTCTACTGTGCTGTTAACGCGAACATTCACAGAGTTTGTAATTCAGCTATACCAGCTAGATAAGTTCTAGAACCATTTCCTTGAATAATCTTAACTAAATTACTGAGTCTTCTAGATTTGCGTTTTGTTGTTAGTACTTACAAGTTAGGTAGAGTACTGATTTATTGGCTAGTTAAACAAACTACGCTTATAATAAGGGCTTGTATAGTGTAGCTAAACCCTATAACACTACCAATACTTTACTGATACATTAAGACAGATTAAAATTCGTAGATATTTCAAAAGTAATTTGCAAAACAATTTAATTTCACTTACCAAGCGTTTACTGGATAGGCATCGAAATTTCCATCTTTGCATTGACAAAACACAAAGTATTCTACATTCTCTGATACACTACCCTCTCGAACTCCCCTGAAACGACGGCGATTAGCCTTGCCTTTCCCAACAGTCATTAGCCATGGTTGATCGTCTGGTTTATAGCTTTCGCGTACAACACCATATTTCTTTAACCTCGCCTCTTCTTTAGCTTCCCGACCGAATTCACTGCCAGCCCCTATATCTGGCATTTCAGTTGTTCCGTACAAGCTTCGGAAAGCTTTAAGGTTATTTTCGCGTTGCATAAAAACCTCAGGACCTGATGACAAATCAATTCGATCAGCTGCATGGAAACGCAGTACACTGAAACGCTTATCTTTCTTGTTTGGAACCCTAACCTAAAATGTAGATAGACTGTTGTATTAACAAAAAAAATACAGACATATAGGCAGAAAAACGTAAACGTCTTAGTTTATGACCTGCATTGAGTTGTGGCTCATCCGAATATATACTTTAAGAAACCGCTAAGATCCAGGTTTCAAACCACTTTTTGGAGACGATCAGCTGCTCAAAGTGTGTATACCTTTCTTTAATAGCCCAACACAAGGAAATGTTAACCCTGTCGAAGCTTCGTTGATAATTTACATAGTTACTATATTTTCTCAATCAAATTAGGAGTAACAAGTGAAAACATGTTATAGAAGCAAACAATTATATAATACAACTTACTAACCCAATACAGATTTGTCCTATAGACTAGAAGCCATACTTGTTTTTTTTTCACATCAAACATTAATACTCAGAAGTCCGGACCAAAGATGAAGACAGGCGAATTATCTACTATTATCACTGACATAATCTAAGTATCTACATTGATTTAAACAAATCAAAGTGATAAATAAAACGAAACAAATGATGCTAGGTTTTCTTTGTACAAAAATAAAGCCATTGAATAAACTAAACCCGACCGATAGCTGTTACCTTGAGGTGGTGGTCGGGCTTGCACATCACGATGAACCAACAAGCTACACTGGCTGGGACATATGTTCCTGCAGGTCCTATCATGCCAGAAAGGTTGTTAGGATGGCGATTACACTAAAAGCAGTTACCGACATCGTGTAAGAATCTTTCTTACACTATGATGGGGGTCTGTGGGCGAAGTCATACTGCTGGGGAACAAGGATTCAACAGCAGTGAAGTGTTTCCTTTATATGAAAGTATGCCAGCCATACTGTCTCTCCACTCCGGAGAGAACGGGTTAGAAAAGGTTGACTCCAAAAATTGTACATCCCGACTTACCCCACCTACGGTGGTCCGTAACCGGCGGTAAGTTTACTAATACAGAACCAATCCCAAAAACCAGTTTATACAGGCCGTGTGTGACCGGCCGGTCTCAAGCAGTTGTCCGCTGGGCTCTGCGGTCACGCAACACTTTCTGTTTCAGGTACCCGAAGAATTAATCAACTTCCACTGTGTGGGCAGCCGGGAAGTAACACACACTTCCAAAAGCACATGAAGCCTTCCTGAGCATCACTCCCCTCTACTCACATCACCTTCCTCATCTTGCTTCTCTACAGACAGAATAAACTAAACACTTTTATGTGAATTTCTTAAGGAAAAGCGAGTATTTGCTTTCCTAATGTTGAACTTTTCACAGACAGCTACTAATTTAGATAATGAATACTAGCTTTAAAAATCCTATAAGCATTACTTAACTATACAGTGTATAGTGACAATCTATCGATCTATCAATCCTCAGACTGCAATTGTTAGACGATGTGACAGACCTAAACAAATCTTTTTTTACCTTTTACTCGACAACCACAGAATGCTTTTAGGTGAATTTCGACTCCTCAGCCCTTTCTAAAAGCAAAAGTATTATTTGATCCTCTAATTTTACGACTTCTATACCCTTCTACGGATTGCACTGAAATAGAATCTTTGTTAATTCAGTTGTAGATTCACACCTGCTAAACTGTTTCAATGCATAACTTGGAGGATTACAATGTTATGAAGTTTAATGTAATAGATGTATACTTGGTTAGTGGAGTATTTTCTGAAGATTTGTATTTCAGACGAAGCAGTTTACCTTTCTAAGACACTACTTTAAAGTAATGTATCATATTTTAACTCTGGTCACTAACATTTAAACAGTGATGGTGTCATGGGTTGAGTTACAGGCCATAAATATAACAATACGAAAACAAAAAAGGGTGGAACGAACACGATTAATACATGCTACACATTTGATAGTAAAAATCCTTTGAGGAAACCCAAATGGGAGTTAGTTAACTGTAATGCGGCGCGCATGCTGCTTATTAACTAATTATACTACCTGGTTATTTCAAACTCGATAAACGCAATAGATTTGGGAGCCGAAATGATTTAGTAGAATGTCAACCACTTAGATCGATGAGCCACAGTGCTGCAGTTAAACTAAACTCTCCATCAACAATAAACAATCTTAATTAAAAATGAATTCATTTAACGTAAGCAATTTAAACACTCTATGAAAAATATTGGATTATACCTGCATTTCTCTTATTATATTGCGTTGAGACGTTTGCTTTTCTTCCGTCTGATTTGTTATTGGCACTTTCGAATTTCCAGCCAAACCACTGAGTACGGCACTACCCGATTGAATAGTCTGAGGTTGAGTGGAATGTGTGATGAGATTAGTCGCCTTTGCAGGCGATGCTGATGAACTACTTTGCGGCTGAGATGATATGGAACTAGGACGTGATGCATTCGATGTCGATTGGATGGCAGATATTTTTAATGGGCCGATAGGAGTGATTTTCAAACCTGTGGTAGAAGCAGCAGTTACATTCACTGGAGTCGATGAATTGCCAAGAGGTCGTATAACAACAACAGAAGCCGTAGAAACAACTGAATCACGTGGAGCTGTAATGAGATTGTGCGCCGGACGAGCATACTGAATGCCTTTATTTGGGGGCAAACGCGAAACAACTGTGATATTTTGTGCTTGAGAAACTTCTGATGTTATTGGAGGTGCGACCTTCTCCACTCTATAATTAAGTTAATTTAAATAAGACCGTTGACAGTACAAGTCTTTTAAATGAGGGTTAGTGAGTTTTAAGTATCAGTTGATACGAAAGAGTACTACTACTTCAAAGATAATACAGAAAATGCACTGAAAAAGGAAGCGAATAAGGTTTTCATAATGACTACCATTTATACAATATAAGCCGTTAGTGCAAGCTATCCTACCATTGCTAATCTGTTACCAGTACTCCTTTAGACTTATCCAAATAGCCAGTGTGATTCTTTAAAGGCACTAGTCAGAGTATTCTTTACGTCTCACATCTGTAAGAATACAACTAAAGTTTCAACCTTTTAACATTGTGATTGGCGCTTTTTACTCTCTAACCGGAAATATCCACTTTTGTGAATTATTCGTATGGGAAATCTGATCTTCCTACCCGGCGAATTTTATTCAACCATTTCTTCCTCACCGAGCCTGTGTGTGATACTTCCCGCTGTCTCGAACTACTGCCAAAGCTTCAGGTGCTACTTCTGTAGCAACATCCTCCTCACTCTTTCAAATATACAGGACTTGTTGGTCTGTTAAGTGATTGCTGTGAAGCCGAATAACCCGAAAGTTACAGGTAAAGTCAAAAGCTTTTACTTAAATACTTTATCCTTCTGTTCTGTGCTCTCTATTGTCTTTTGCTGTCAGTCTATTGGACAAAATAACAGTCTCTTATTATTTAATCACCGGTATTAATTTAGGAGTAATATGACGATAGATTCTCACTCTAAGATAAGTAATGGGACATCATACTCCGTAGTCACCAGGGCTTCAGCCAAACTAGCCAAACAAGTGAAGCTGATGGACTCTCGCATACCGGTCTTGAAGACCAGGGCAAATATTTCCTGCTCCTACAGATTGCCCATGTCGCCACAGTCCTACAGTGAAGCTGTGCAAAGTCAACCAAGTGGATGTGGCTCCATCCCTGTTAACACGACTAGGTTAACAGAGCCGAGTGGGAAAATTGCACTAAGTGAGAACTGTATAACTCCCATATCCATGGTAGGCCATGTCGCAAGACGACAAAAACGCTTCCCAGGAAGGCAGACGACTGCGAGGTCTGCGCTTCTGTTGTCGAACAAGCAGACTGCTTTCGAATGTAACTTTTGCAAGCGATGGGTGCATTATAGATGCGACAATGGGGTACCAAAAGTATATTATGACTTTATGCGTAAGAACCCATGCCCATGGTTCTGGTACATATGCCCAAGTTGCCATCATGATGTAGCCTCGTGTAGTCCTTTGAAAACTAAAGATGGCGCAAAAGTAGCAGGGAAAAACGTGAAATGTTGGACTCCCACCAATTCGGAAAATAGCACAAACGCGCGTAAACCGGGGATACCAAAATCCTCACCGGTTAAACTTGTAACTCTTGACGAATCTTCTACTAGCTTGGAACGATTGGACACTATCCTGGGACGAAAAGGTACCAGCCTACGTGATCTTTCTCGACTTTGCGAAAGCATTCGACGGTTCACCATGGTCTGCTCCTTCACAAAATAAGCAAGGCGGGTGTTTCTGGAGCACTTCTCGCATGGCTGAAAGATTACTTAGGCGAGAGAGAATTCTGCACCAAAGTCAACCGCATCCGATCATCCTGGCACACCTCGGCATCAGGGGTTCCAAATGGGTTCTATCCTAGGGCCGTTGATGTTTTTGGTTTTTATCAACGACCTGCCCTCCCAACTAAACTGCTCTGCGCCTCTTTACGCTGACGACGTAAAGATTTGGAGAGCAATAAACTCATCGGAAGACTCAGACAGATTGCAGGCTGACCTGCAAACTCTGGGAAACTGGGCTCTGGCTAACGGAATGCCTTTCAACCTAAAGAAGTGCAAAGTAGTGCAACTTCATTCGGGTAGGTCACAGAGTGCAAATTACACCCTTGGTGGGGATGCTAACATTCTAGAAAGTGTCCAGAGACGAGCGACAAAATGGATGATCGACCTCCGCAACAAATTATACGAAGAAACACTAAAGAAATTAGGTCTTTTCACACTTAGTTACCGTAGGCACAGGGGAGACCTCATCACCGTATACCAGATCTTAAATGACCAGGCCCACCCAAATAAAAGCATCCTGCCATTAAGTGAATATAGGCTTCCACGGGGTAACCCGCTAAGGATAGCACACCAGAGACCAAAGACTCGAGTGCGATCACATTTCTTTTCGCTTCGAGTTTGCCGTCTCTGGAACGCTTTACCAGCGGCCGTGACTACAGCGCCATCTGTGGAGATTTTTAAGCGGAAGGTAGACAATCATGCAGAAATGCAAGGTTTGTGTCTCAATGGCTTATCCTCATAAAACTTAAAACCACACTGTCAACGGATAAGCGTACAAACTAAATCCCCATCTGTTCTGCCTTCTCTCACTCTATCTTTTCCTTAGGTCACCTTTATTATTCCACTTATCTGAACCCATATTATCTACACTACAACCCATTATTATTATTACTATTCTGCTTTTATGACTACACCGAATGACCAATGGGAGTTAGGTCAAACTCCATTCACGGCAGCAATACAGTCCTAACATACTGCATACTACAAACCACATCTTGACCAATCCCCGCACCACTCCTCTTGGAGTCTACCAGAGCTAAAGCAGTCGAGTGGCGGGACTTACTACGCAGAAGCTCACCGAAGATCTGGAACCTCTACCTCACAATCAAGAAGCGAGCTCAAAGAAATCACTGGTTTATACTAGCTCGTAATCAGGATATTGGATATTGAACCTTAATCTATCAGCGTATGTTCAGACAGATATCCAGCTTCCGAAGTATGCAGTACTAAGTAATTAAGAGGATAGATTTGGAAAGCCCTGAATGACATTTTCGGAAACAGCAAAAGGTCAATGGATTGAATATAGATAATAAAGACAGAAAATATGGACTAATAAACTAGTCAAACGGTTGAAGTATGAATTATCAACACACTTTGGGAAAAAAGCATTTTAAGCTGAAACACGCTTCGAAGGCAGGCAGAAACGCAACCCAACTTAAATTTACCATAATGTAAGGGAGAAAGAATTACTTACAGAATTATAAGGATTATCAATCTTAAGATGTATGAATCACACAGTGAATGTGTCTGTGCCAAATGCATACACAAAATTTATTCTCAAAATCTTACCTTATAGCAGTGGGATTAGGAACTCCCGACATACTTCAGGTTCTGAAGAATGCCAAAACAGATTATAGATTAATAAAGCTATGCATATTTTTTGAAAGAGAATGCTCTTTGTTACAGGGGAAAGGTGGTATGTCACTTAAGCATTAAATATGTGCACTTTATGGGCCATTAATTAGGAATACGAAGCGATGTTTATCAAAACGCCTGAAAATAGCACCCCCAGTAGTGAATCAAAATTCCGCTCAAGAAGGACGGAATTTGAATAAGCCGCTCTGTTTATCTCTGAACTTCCTTGTAGAGACGTCAATGTTGACCTTCAGGTTCTCAGGACAATGTATAAAGCTAATGGAACTCAGTTATCAAGCTCGAACTGAACAAAAGGATTAGGCATTGAAACTGAATTACGTAATATTTGAATTTAAGCACTGCTGAGCAGTGCATAGGCTGCCAGGTAAGTTAGGTTAGCGAAAAGTAGCTTTCGAATTGAATATTACTGGAGTTTTCATCAATCATTGTATATTTATATTGTCTCCTTGACTTCCCAGTGGGACATATGGCTTCATCGACTCATTTCTACTTTTTTTCTATTTTATGCATTCCTCTTCAGCTGAGTCTACAGTTGCCCATCTCTCGCCCCTCCAAGCGTGATCTCCTGCATGTCACCCTCTAACCTCGGCCCCACTCGTCTTTTGTTATTTGCATTCCACTCCAGTGATACCCTGCATTGCAGCAGATATCATTCGGTGGACGTCTCAGGGTATAGCCAATTTAACTCCATTTTCTTTCACATATTTGTTGATCTTGATTGATGCGCTCAAATACATTCTTGTCGCTAAATCTGACTGGCCGGATATCTGGTCGTCAGTATGGAGCCCTCAATGAGAGCTGCTAATGAACCCCTGCATCAGGCTGTAGGTGAAGCGTCCGCTAAGATTCTAACCAATATAGAGGCACTCGGTGACGTAAAATTGTTGTTGAAAATAAGAATTTCTTTCCTTATGAGGAGAAGAGTAGATTTCTAAGCAGATTTCAGAGTGATAAAGGCTTTTCGTATGCAGTTAAGGCTATAATACGTGCAGAAGTTATTTATCTATTTATTGTTCCCATGGGTTTCTGGTGGAACATAGGGCTTCAACGCCACGTATCCATTTGCTTCTGTCTTCTGCTGTACTTTTCACCTGCATCCATGTTAGTCCTTACTCTTTCAACTCCTCTTCACACGATCTCCTCCATGTCAACCTTGAACGTCCCATACGCCGCTTCCCTTTCAGGTTCCACTCGAGGGCTTGGCGCGCGATGTCACCCAGCGGTCTCCTCAGCGAGTGTCCAACGCATCTCCACTTTCTCCTGCATATTTGCTGGGCGATTGGTTCTTGCATTGTTTGTTCCCATAGTTTCTTGTTGGTGATTCTTTCCGGCAATCTGATCTTCAGTATGGAGCGAGGACAGTTGTTGGTTGATGAAGGTCTGCAACAGGCTGTTGGAAATATTCTTTGCAACCCACCCGCCAAGTTTATGATCCGTACAGAAGAACTAACTTGACATTTGTATTGAAAATCCGACCAAATTTTGTTGATGCTGAGTGACGAAGATTTACAGATTGATCTCAGGTTGATGAATGTGTTTCTCGTCTGCCTTCCCGATTCTCGATTTAACATCCTCATCTGTTCCTCCTGCAGTTGAGGCAATGCTTCCTAGAAGTAACCTCTTTCAAATCCCTCCAATTGATGGTGATTGGCGATGTTGTTGGTTGGTTGGTTGGTTATTTTCATAACCTCCGTCTTGTCTATTTTCAATTGGAGTCCTGTCTTTGCTGCTTATTCGACCAGTTTGTCGGTTTTCACTTGTAAATCTTTGATTTTGTGTGTCATAAAACGTAAGTCATCCGCGAAATCCAGGTCTTCTTGGTGCTTAACATTGGTCCAGGCTATCCCTGTCTTCTCGTTTCCCACTGTTGAATAAGGTTGATGAATATTTGGGGTACGCCGTAGTACTCGAGTAATTTCCAAATTACTTCGCGATCAACGCTGTCGAATGCCTTTTCAAAGTCTATAAATTTGAGGTAGAGGTTTGATTGCCATTCCATGCTTTGTTCTGTGATGATGATGCGAAGAGTTGCCTCTCCTGAATCCAGCTTGTTCTGGTCGGAGTTCTGTCTCCATTGCATCCTTTAATCTCTCCAGGATGATGCGACTCAAGATTTTACTTGGCGTCGATAGGAGCATAATTCCTCGCCAGTTCTTGCAGAGTGAGTCGTAAGTCTCCCTTCTTCGGTAGTTTCACGAGGTAACCTTTTCTCCAGTCAGTAGGCACCTTTCCCTCCTTCCAGACCTTCTGCAATAATAGAGTCAGTCAGCATGGCTGCTGTAGTCTCTGGGTCCGCTTTCAGTGCTTCAGAGGGTATTCCATCTGGTCCGGCTGTTTTTCCAGCTTTGAGAAGTTTGATTGCGTTCAAGACTTCAGCTCTCGTTGGAGGATTGGTGTCAACTTGCAGTTGTGTGCGCGCTGTTGTTGGTATTTCTGAACAGGTTGCAGGTGATGGTCGGTTCAAGAGTCCTTTGAAGTGATCCGCCCATTGTTTAATCTGTTTTTCTTCCTTGGTAATTGGGTTCCCTTGGCTGTCTTTTATGGGTTTCGCTTGTGTTGATCCCTTCTCGGATAGAGATTTGGTTATCTGATATAGTGTCCTCAGGTCCCTTTTGCCTGCTGCCTTTTCAGCTTCAGTAGCTAGATTGTCGTAGAATCGTCTTTTGTCCTCCCTAGCACTTTTCTTCACTTCTTTGTCCAATGCTTTGTAAGTTGAGCTCATCGTCTCCTTCTCCTGTCCGTCCTTGCGTTGAATCATTTTCTCTTTCACCATTCTCCTCTCTTCTATTAATTTCCAAGTGTCCGTTGAGAGCCATTCCTTGTCTTGTCTCTTCTTTCTTCCTAGAACCGTTGAACACGTTTCGTTGAGAATCGCCTTCAGAGACTTCCAATGTTCTTCCACGCATGATTCTTCAGTGATGTCGCGTAGTGTTTCCTGCTTTGCTCTGACAGTTGCAGTGAAAGTGTCTTTTGTGGTTTTGTCCTTCAGTAATTGAGTGTTGAACTTGCATTGTGGTCTATCTCCAGCTATCCTCGAGGCTTTTAGTTTCACCTTGAAAGTCCCTTCTACTAGATAGTGGTCTGAACCCACATCTGCTCCTCTCCTCGACCTTGTGTCCAGTCGGCTCCGTCTCCACTTTCTTGAAATTGAGATGAAGTCTATCTGGTTTTTGGTGTTTCCATCTGGTGAAATCCATGTTGTCTTGCCTCACGACCCATGGTGGGTTCTGTTCCTGTGTTGTCCTCTCCCAGCTTCGCATTCATGTCGCCCATCAGGATTTTGATATCGCCATTTGGGACGTTGTCCATCATTGCTTGTAGTTGTCTGTAGAACGCCTCCTTCTTCTCTTGTTCTGAGACGTTTGTAAGCGCATAACATTGAATGACTGTAACTTTCCTTCCTTTTGAGTTGAAACTGGCTGTCATTATCCTGGAGGAGATTGGTTCCCACTGCATGAGAGCTTTGGTTGCTGTTGGTGACTTCATGATGGCCACTCCCTCGGTGTGCTCATGGTTGTCCTTTGGGTGGCCGGAATAGATTACTGTCTCTCCAGTAGGTAGTTGGCACCTACCACACCCGTTCCGTCCACTCTCGCAGATTCCCAACACTTCTATTCTGTACCTTCGCATTTCAGCGGCTGTCTGGGTAGCCTTTCCAGTTTCTTACATTGTGCGAACATTCAAGGTACCCATCCTTACTTTTGCTTTCATCGAAAGAAGGCACATCGGCTGACTGGCTTCCCGAAGGCTTCCACCAGCCTGCGTCATTTCACTTCCCCGATTCCAGCGAAAAGTAAGGCTATTGCTTATGCTTTTAGAATTTTTAATATATTTATTCGTTGAAGTTTCTGTAGCGATTTGGTTGTTTTACAGGGGTGGAGTTTCTAGCACCATGCCCCAACCCTCCCTCTTCACCCGGGCTTGGGACCGGCGAGAAAACTCGTAAGCTAGTAGCCTAGCAAGCTAGTATCTGGCGAGGTTCCGCTAAGAATAAACAGGCAGTATTCTAAGATAAGTCGGACACATACTTTGTATAATGAAACCCTAGTTTCACAACAAAAGAAATTGCGTGTAATGCATCCTATCAGCCTTCGTGTTTTACGTCTGGCATAATCAGTCTGTTCAGCGAACGTTAGGTTACTAGAGTATCTAATACCGAGATCTACGACTGAGTTGAGCTTGGCTAGTTTTCGCCCATTTATTTCAAGAGTTAGATCAAGGTTACTGTTGGTGATACAAATCCAGCCGCATTTGTCAATGTTAAAGTTTAGACAGGATTCAGCACACCATATTGCGAGACTACTTAGTTCAAGATGTATTTTAGTAACCATATCGCTTAATTCATGAGTGTAGCAGGAGTAGACGACTTTGAGGTCGTCAGCATATGGAAATGGTTTACCTGAGGTGAAGCACTTGCGAATGCTGTTAATGTAGACTGTGAATAAAAGTGGACCTAGGACACCACCTTGCACAACCCCACCTGAGATCTGCCTAGGATGAGACAATACAGATCCAACTTCGGTTATTTGTACCCTGTTGCTTAGAAATGATTTTAACCAGTTCAGTAATGAGTTGCGAATTCCACATGAGTACAGCTTCTCAAAGAGTGTACTGTGAGATACCATGTCAAATGCTTGAGATATGCTTTTCTGCAGTATTGTTAACGAAATGCTGAAATTTTTTTGGTTATGTTAATATCTTTTTGTAATATATGTAGACAGGTTACTTTGCAATGTCAAATGTTTACTATATATACAACTGTCATGATAATTTAGTACACTATGTCCTGCCAACCGACCTTACCTTCAGTTCATAATACCCACATGGAACCTTAAATATAGTGTTCTGTTGAATCTTTCTCCACTATTCACAAAACCTATTCCTTTTATATTTTGAGGCGTTAACTTCTTATAAAGTAATCTGTTCATTAGGATGCATGCACACA